CGGAGCACTGTGCGAACTCTTGTCAGAGCTAGGAGATTAGAACTCCAGAAGTGCGAGCCCCTTGCTCACCAACCTCACGCCCAAGGAAGGCCTCTACTCATGCTCTCCAACCTTCTGACTTGCACTGCCCAGTCACTACATTGCCGTGAATCCTCAGACCGAGCATCTTCTGACAGTCCTGGAGCGTGACTGTCTTCTCTCCGAAAGGCTAGTTAAAGCTGTGAGTCTCCGGCCGTCACCTACATATTAGACAAAAGCAAGATTACATGTCAAAAAGGCAAGTGCATGAACAAATGGGCATGAATGGAGGCAATGATTGAAGATAATACCTGTCAACCAACGCAGTTATGGCTGCTGAGTTGAACTTGGGCAACCCACGATGAACCTGAAAAGAGATGACATCTAGGCCAGCTCTTTGCAGGAAAGGAGTGTACCTGTTGTCGTACTGGATGTCCAAGAACCCATTGTGGGTTCTAGGACAAAGGAGTGGAAGGTCCAGCATAAAATAAAACATAGTCTCCCATTACTTCACGAACACATGTACGTTCCCAAAAATTTGAACAAAATGTATAAATTGTTACCTACCCCTCCGCTATGAGACATCCTCGGTGGGTGGCCTCGTACATCGGGTCGAGCAGGTGGAATTGCACCATCCTACAAAAAAGTCAATGAAATCAAAATTCAATATACAATGAAACATAAACTTAGAAATGTACAAGTAATTGACACAATTACAAGCATACATTGAGACATGCATAATTAATTGAATGAATACGACAAATATAAAATAATAAAAACAACCAATAGGCCCACCTCACTAATCTGCCAATGGCAAGTGCGTGAATTGTGGCCCAGTCTATCACACTTGCCACACTCGTACTGCTCAGGGTCAGTAAGAAATGGGGTTTCGCTCCCATGCCTCATTCTTCCGGGTATCTGATCCATAACCATCCTATGCCTCGTCCTCTTCCTTGATCCACGCTTGTTCCAATGGTAAGCTAGATCCATAATATACTTTAGCCCATCATATGGAGGCCACTCTCTAGGGTCTCAGAAAAGCATGAAGCGGGGGCTCCATGTGTGCACAAGCGTGTCGACACTAAACTCGTGAGGTATCCTGCTCTCGATATTATAGTTGCGATGCCTAGCTGCTGCCACCAAATTAGAACATAGAAAGTGGTACTGCCTTGGTTTACCACAAGTGCATGTGAAATCTTGGAGGATTACCACATGCATCCTCAACTCTCGGACCTTGTCGTCGGACGTTGTACCGCCCCTATGCTCGACCTGATCAGTCCCTGTGGCGTGGTCAAAACATGTAACCTCATGTGTGCCAGCCCTTTCATTTGTCTTCTCTAGGTGTGCCTTTGGTTTCGGAGACCATATCTCTCCATCACTCTGCAACTTCAATGCATGGGCGTGTCTATCATTGAACCAGGCAACAAGCTTGTAGAAGGTGAATTGGACGATTGCATTCACGGGCATACCACGTATCCCCAATAGCAACTTATTGAATAACTCCGCCAAGTTGCTGCACTAAAACTCATACCTCCATCCACTAGCATCGTGAGCTCTTGTCCATTTCTGCAAATCCCTCATCAAACCTATGAGCCATTGTCTACCTTCTGTATTTGATGCGGTTCTGACCTACTCCAACTTTTTCTAAAAGTACTTGTCCTCAAGCTGTTGAGCAGGCTCCTGGAACAGATCAAAGTTATCCTTCACACAATCCTTCCGAAGTAGATTCTCGGCAAGGTGGCGAGTACACCAACGATGGTGCAAAGGTGCATACCCCTCTATCTGCTCTCAGACAGCATTAAGTATGCCCTGGTGCCTATCACATATGATGCCAACCTCCCTGCTAGACAAAACCACATGTATTCGGACTAGCCTCAAGAACCATCCCTAATTGTCATTGTTCTCCTTCTCAACCAAAGCAAATGCCAAAGGAACTAACTTGTTGTTCGCGTCATAGGATATGGCCATAAGAAGTGTGCCCTGGTATTTGCCAATCAAGAACGTACTATCAATGGAGAAGATGGGACGACAGTGCCTAAAGGCCTCGACACACTAAGGGAAGCACTAGAAAGCATGAAAGAATATCTGCCTCCCATCCTTCCATGCATTTGGTTTTGGGATGTACTCATAATGCATGCCTAGATTCACCACTTTGATTGCATTGAAAAGTACTGGCAGCTGCTCATACCCATCCTCCCAGTCCCCATATATTATCTTCCATGCTCGCTGCTTAGCCCTCCAAGCTTTACCATAAGTTATCACATAACCTCCATACAACGCCTCAACAGTCCTGATAATTGTCCTAACCTTCATGTTGGGTTCTCCCTGTAATATTCCCATCAACCGCTTGGCAATGAGGGTAGATGTCAACTGCCGATGCTTCAGTGTCAGCACATGGTCAGCACAATTGTGTGGCCCAACAACTTTTGTGATCTTCCACTTTCCGGTGACCTTTTGCTTCCTTGCACAAAACCCTCCATGGGCAGCGTTTCTTGTCACACACAACTGTGTAACGGCGCTCCACATATGAATGCAAGACCTTGTAAGGTCTCTTTCGTATCACTACAAACGCCTACAACCACCTCTTCAATGCAGGGAGGTCCTTGAATACCCTCCTATTCTCAATTACCATGTTAGGGCCCGCCTCGGGAGCTTCTAGGAGCTCATCATCACGTCCTTCTGCACATGCCTGATCGGAATGAGCAAGATCGCTGAACTCATGAACTCTTGGATCACGGCGGCTAGAAAAGATATGCCTCAACATCTCAATATCACTCTCTATCAGCTCTCCAACAGGACGATCATCATCAGAATCAAGAGCCCTTGCCATCTCATATGGTTCAGAATCATTCATAATTTCAACACTATTGGAGCCACAGGATCCATCTCCACAGAGCACTTGTGCAGCAACAGTGGGCACATCCACATTGTCAGGAATCTCTACTATAACATAAGTTGAAAAATGAGGAAAGAATGAAAAATTGGATGTAAGGAATGGGGTAAGCTCCCAATAACCATGCGGATAAGACACTTACTCGGATAATTCTATGTCAAAGGGATCTCATGAGGAGGATCTGCCACAACATCATGAGTCTGGCAAGCATCTTCAACTAGCTCATTGGGGGCAGATTGAGCATCGGGAACCATAGGTGCAACCTCCACATCCATATCAGGTTCTAGGATGGGAGGGTCGAAGTGTGCCTGTTGATCCATTGGTGGGGAAAACCCATGAGGGACGGGATCAACTAACACCCAACACACAACCACGTCCAAACATTACAGCTGGCTCTTCATAGCTGATCTCACATAGTTCTCCCACTGATTCGCACACCCAATTAGGATCATTCGCCTGAGGATGTCGGGAGGAAAACCTAGGTGTAGTACACCCTCAACTGCAATGCCATCATCATCATCTCTAAGGCAATGCAGCTCCTCCCGAGCCTTTGCAACCATCTCACTAAATGAAGGCATATCATTGAATAGCACAGGCATACTTTGCAAGTCAACAAACTCAACATATCCATAGCGATCGCTTTCAACGGTGCCTCCATGATATATAGTCACTAGGTTGTCCATCTAGTTCAAACACGTAACAAAACACATGTCCTTTAGTCCAAATTAGACGATAGATAGTACCTAACAAGTACTTTCTAACTACAAACTAAGTAAATAAGATAATAACTACGTATATATGTACCTATATATCTATGTTTCTATCTAAGTAGCTATCTAACTATATCTATGTACCTATGTATCTATGTTTCTATCTATCTACATATCTATCTCACTAGATCACTAACTAAATCAACTACCTGAGTCATCACATTAACTAGTAAATAACAAATGACAAATCTACTACACTACAATCAAAGCTAACTAAGTACGTACGTTGCATATTCATAATTTTTACTTGTACGACGATGGAGTTGCGGACGTCGACGGAGTCGCAACGGACGCTGGGATCGATGGCCCTAGGACGGAGTCGTAGCGGACATCGGGCGTGGGTGAGGCCGACGAGCCGGGCCGGCGATGGTGTGGCCGGGCGCTGCAGGGGCCGGGGCCGGCAGTGGCGCGGCCAGGGACACGGACGTCGACGGAGTCATAGCGGATGCCAGGATCGATGGCTCTAGGACAGACTCACAACGGGTGCCGGGCGTGGGTGAGGGCGACGAGCCAGGTCGGCGGTCGCGCATGGCGGGCGCGGGACGGCCGGCGCTCCACGCGGCGAGGCTAGCACGGTGGCCGCGGTGGCCGGGGCAAAGCGCGGCGGCGGACGTGGCGGTGGATGCTCGAGGGAGAGAGAGAGAGGAAGAGGGAAAGAGAGAAAGGAAGGGAGGGCCCATACGTAAGACAGGGCTTGGCGTCGTGGATCTTGGTGCCAAGCTCGGCACTAAGATCCATGGTGCCAAGCTCGGTGCCAAGATCCAGGGCGCCGAGCTTGGCGCCAAGATCCACGGCACCGAGCTGATTGTCATGTCAGCGTCTACGCCACTAATGTGGCCCCGACCTAGGCGCCAAAATCTATGGCGCCTAGACGTGTAAGCTCGGCGCCACCAACGATGGCGCCGAGTTAAGGGTCCAGATTTTGAAATCATACCTCCAGAGACATATTTGTGATTTTTTTTCAAAAAATGGGCTAAAAATTAAAAAAATTCGGCCTGGAGGAAGGCGCTGGCAGTTCCAAATCGCTTGCTGGCGTGTGCCGCCAGGTAATCAATCTGAAACCTCTGCTTGTTACGTCGGTTCAATCAACAGTGACGATGCACGCTACCCAACCGCCTAAACTAGAGTTGCGCCTACGAGTTTTGGTGGGCCACGTCGTACGGCGCAAGGAAACGTGCCGCCGCCCGGTTCCATATAGCAGAGCGATCGAGTCGAGACCCCCAAATCCTCTCGAATCAATCTCGTCGCCTTCGTTCGTTAGCTTCCCCTAAATCCTAGCAGAAACAGTTCGGATCCTGACCAATCGGATCGATCACGCCATGGCCGCCGTCCTCCTCGGCCCTCCCGTCATCTGTGGGGCACGCCCGCCACCACCGCCCACCACGGCTGTGGAGGCCCCCGCTTCCCACCCGTTCCTAGACCTCCTCGACGCCTACTTCAACAATGAGGACCCTCCAGCCGTTTCAGATGCCGCCAACGGTGCCAAGGGACCCCGCATGGCGAGGAGGGAAAACAACTCGGCCACCTACGCGAGTTCCGGCAACCCCTGCCTCGACCTCTTCATTAGTTAGGAGTTTAGGAGTTAAGGACGTATGTGGATGATGCATGTCTGACTTCTGCGCTCAACCGTGCTACTACTTTGTAATCTGATCTGACATGCAGGAATAGATTGCTTTTGGTACCGAACAGCTTTGGGTTTCCCTTTTACATGTTAATTTGAGTTTTAGTGCAGGCTTGTTTTCTTCATATAGTAGGATTGATTTATGAAATTTGTGTGATTATGTTCGATCGTGTTAAATTGTTCAAACATAATCGAGATCTTTGCTAAGAGCACTAAGAGCCTCACTAGTGTTTCTTCTTATCTTTCACTTTGAAAGCAAATCGCAGGTGCTGAGCAACATCATATAGTTTTGCCCAGGTACGGTGTTGAGCAATTTTTTATGCTTTACCAGTAGACCCTGCACATAACGCACACAAATCTCCTCTGTGTGCTTCTCGTGACAAGTTTTCACAAACAAATTGTTCATACGTTTTCACATAGAACTCATTATTTCAGAAGTTGAATGGCAATTATTGTACACATAATTAAATTGTTGCAAAGAAGCTGTAACCAAACACAAGAGTATCAGCGTACATGATCATCGCCGCATTACTTCTAGAGTGACTCAACCAGAGTTTTGCTTGACTACTCTAACTCCAGCAAAATGGCGCTTCTTCACGTGCGGACTCCATCACACAAAGAATCTTGAACAAGTGCGGGTAGCCGAACGGTTTGATCTGCAAGCTGTATAAAGTACAACCTTAAACACAAACACATTTGTGCAATGGCTGTCCGTATACTAAACACAGGTTTGGTTTGGATTCAAAATTGGTTTGGGTTGTCGAACATCAAAACAGGTAGTATGGGAGGATCCATTTACTCATTCTAAACAAAAATGCGGCTCAAAATTCGATGAAACACTAAGAGCAACTCCAAGAGACTCTATGTCCTTCCAAGAGTAATTGGTAGGAATAGAGGTTTGGATGAAAAAAAACTCCTAACAACTTTTTTATTTGGTTATCCAAATATAGTCATCTTTTATTTTGGATTTCTCGCTAGCCAAAGATAGAAAAACGAGAATAGCACTCTAGAGTGTAAATAAGATATAGGGAAATTGTTGGAGAGCGGAAAGACATAGAAAACGATTTTTATGCAAATGGCTTTCTAAATGATGATTTAGAGAGTGAGCTTTACAAAGAGAGCAATGGCTTTCTAAATGAAGGCATCATCATTTATTTCTGATGAAATATATGGAAAGAGAGGAATAGGAGAACCTTCCAACAAAAAAAAGTTACAACTTCATCAAGCAGCTTTTGTGTGCAAAGATGATCATGAGTTTAATCAACCATCGGCGGAAGCTGAAATGGTTGGCACAAGGTCAGGGGTTTGTATCATAATTTAATTTTTGAATTTTTTATTTAATTCATTTATTCAGCCTTTGGTGACAGTGTTTGGAATAGGACCAATGGTAGATTGGGATAAAAACAAATAAGGGTAAAATCATAAAATTGAAAAAAAATGATGATGATATTACAATTAACCTTCAAAGCAGGGCTACGAACACCAATCTTCCTTTTAACTTTATTTATAAGTGGATGCACTAAGAGTTTAGTATATTATAATTTCCCGATTCAGATGAATCATGGTTTACCTGAAATTAAATCACTAAAATGCATTGATAAGTTGCATTTTGAAATCTGTGTACACTAATATATATCATGCCAAAGCTGGTATCTATTCAACGCGTATAAAATCATTGTGGGTAAAGGGAACAAAACAAATTATATAAGAAATAAAAAAATAGACAAAGTGTAATCTCTTGTCATAACTTTAAAAATCCTGTCACATGGCTGCCTCGGTGGCAAGGTGTGGAGTATCATACTTCACTCAAATGACATAGTAGCTGGATTTCAAAAAAAAGACATAGTAGCTTTAGAGAAAATGACATGAGACAATGCTTTGGAAGTACCTAAACATAATTGTACTGCGATAAATTTCCTGGGAGCAGTTGCATTGGTATTGCTCGAAACTGAAGTTCAGTGTTTTGTGTCTAACGAGAATGAGAAACCAATAAAAGATTCGAAGAGAATGAAGAAACCTCTCTCGATCTACCATCTCAAAAGCTTATTATTACAACGATCTAAAACTGATCAAGCTAGGGATAAGTTGATGATTCTAATTAAACTGAAGCTAATAGACTAAAGACACAGCCAAAGACATTTATTTCTAGATGAGGGTAGGTAGTCGAGATGCATGGGAGCTATCTATGCAGCAGCAGCAGCACTGTTCCATCGGCGGCGATGGATTAATTTGAAGGCGCGAAGAAGATCTCCGAGTCAAGCATCTTGGAACGGAACAGCTTCTCCATCTCCGGCGTGGTGTTGAACGACGCCTCCAGAACCGCAGGAGAAATTACTGTTAGATTGATCTCTTCCAATTGGCCTGGGCCTTTAGATCCGCACTCTGATCGGGGACGCCCAACCGCTCCATGGTTGGTGGGCTCCCGTCACACAGCGCCATAAAAAGGGAGATGGGGGCCATGACACAAGGCACGAGGTTCACTTGAGCTGTCAGACGCTCCACCTACATCCTAACCCTAGCTGATCTAGAGAGGGGGCGTTGCCAGCGACGGAAAGCTTTGCCACCGGCCACCGCCGCCTCTGCACCGCCACCTGCTCCCATAGTCAAGGACGACAGATATGGAGAATTTTAATGTCCCAGGAACCAATACGAGATTGATCAAATGAAAGCGGTTTCATATAGTTCAGCTAGCGGAAGTTTACAGTATGCTCAAGTATGTACTCGCCCTGACTTAGCATTTGTTACCGGGTTACTTGGCAGATATCAGAGTAATCCAAAAATAAAACACTGGAAATTAGTAAAGAAAGTTTTGCGTTACCTGCAAGGTACGAAGGGTCTCATGCTAACGTACAGAAGATCTGATTTCCTGCACATAGAGGGGTATACAGATTCTGATTATGCGGAAGATGACAGAAAATCCACGTCAGGATACATATTCACTCTCGCAGGAGGAGTTATATCATGGAAAAGTTCAAAGCAAACCATCGCTACATCGTCCACAATGTATGCTGAGTTTGTAGCATGTTATGAGGCCACAGGTGAATTGGCTAAAGAAATCCATGCCCAGGTTGAAAGTGGTAGACGACATACATAAGCCACTCAAGTTATACTGCGATAATAATCTAGCAGTATATTATGCTCACAACAATAAGTCAAGTGGTGCTGCCAAACGCATTGACATAAAGTATTATGTTGTGAAAGACAAAGTCCAGGATCATATAATTAGTCTTGAGCATATAAGAATAGAAAAGATGCTCGCGGATCCGCTTATAAAAGGCTTACCACCCAGCGTGTTCAGAGAACACTTAGCCGCCACGGGTTTAAGGGAAAGCCTATGATTCCTGGACAATAAGGGCCTAGTTAAAAATCTGTTTCAAAATAGAGAGGTGCATTGCAGCTGTTTAATCTAATGGCAACTGACCATGACGATGAGGCACGCTCTATGCACTGATCTGTGATGGAATGGGAATAAGATAAAGTAAGTCAAGTTTAAGTCATAAAGTGAGATCAAGGGGGAGAATGTTAGATTGATCTCATCCAATTGGCCAAACGGCCAATTGGACCTTTGGATCCACGCCCTGATCTGGGGTGCCAACCGCTCCATGGTTGGTGGGGCCCCATCGCACAGCCCCATAAAAAAGGAGGTGGGGGCCGGAGCACAAGGCACGAGGTTCACCTGAGGCGCTAGACGTCCCACCTACATCCTAACCCTAGCCGATCTAGAGAGGGGGAGTTGCCAGCGACGGGAAGCTCTGCCACCAGCCACCGCCGCCTCTACACCGCCACCGGCACCGCGCCTTCACCGCTGGGCTTCACCGTGCCACCGACGAGCAACCCCATGGCTAGCTCGTCTTCTACAAAGGTGGCCGATGGTTTGCACCTCAACAACCCCTCTCTCTCTCTTTCTCTCTATTTCTCGCTTTAGCTTATGTTCTAGGGTTTACACTTCATCAAATGTCAGTTTGTATGATAGATCAATGGCTAGTGATCCTGTAACTTTCTATCAATGGTATTAGTCGCCTAACTAGGTGTAGACCTAGCTTATCAGGGTAGAAAACCGAGTAGCAGCAATTAAAAAGGAGGTGAGAGATCCGATTCGGATCTAAGCAGAGGGTTCATCGAACCCTAAACCCAAATCAGGTGAAGAAAAGGAGTAAGAAAGGGTCTCGATTTTGAAAAGGAACTCAAACCCTAACCCTAACCCACGTAGACAACTCGGGGAAAAAGAATAGTAGCCAAACCCTAACCCTAACTCGACCTAACCCTAACCCAAACCCAAAATCGGACAAGATCCGAGAAGAATAGAAGAAGATCCAAACAGAGAAAAGAAGGGGAAAGGGGAAGGGCTTTGGAAGCAGCTTATCTCGCTGCCCTCCACTCACCGGAGTCTCCAGGAAGGGCTTCACAACGCCTGCTAGGGCACCGCCGCTAGGCCCTCGACGGTGGCAGGCTCACCCAAAGGGGAGCGACGCGCCGGCGACGGCGCTATCATCCCTCCGCCGTGGGCAAGCTCCGGTAGCCGCTGCCTCACTACCGCTCGGTGGCTGCCACTCACTACGCTTAGAGAGGAAGGGGAGGAGAACAGAATGAGCTAGGGTTCGGGAGCCGACGCTGCGTCGTGCGTTTTTGATCCACCGAGAACGCTGCGTAGCCATCCGATTTGCATCAACGGCTCAGAGCGCTCGGGCCAGCTTTTGGCCCAGGCGAGCGCGAGCGGTGGGCCGCTTTCCCAGCCTAGGCCTAGGTTGCGGCCTGGGCGCGGGGGAGTACGCAGGAGAGCGCGCGCGCAGCCATGGGCCGTGGGCCATTTTATTGCTCGGGCCAGATGAATAATATAGATTGAGCCCTTTTTTTTCTTTTTTCCGTTTCTAGTGAATTTAGTTTTTTTCCTAGAAATTGATTACTGGCTCAAATAAAATCAATTAAGATGAGTTTTCCTGTGGGTTAAAA